ATATATATCTTGTTGTAAATCCTCGAATAAAGCTTTTTATTCTGAAGCTGTGAAAAGTTTAGTCCTTACGTATATCCACACTATCAGCGTCTCTAACGTCATTTTGCGCCAGATACTGCAACCATATATTCTAAGCTGGTTGACGAAAATAGCAGACAATAACAGATGACTTATCTAACTATACCATATACTTTGCGCGAAATTACGAGTTGCGGAAGACCGAGATTACTTAATCTCAATAACGGTTGAACTGATCGAGTTGTATATATGCTTAATCGATAGCTTACATCCTGAGTGTATAATACTTGCTCTTGTTTTTCATATACGTGTACCTACATGTAGAGATACGCGCGTAAAGTCCGGATCTGAAAAGTTACTGGTACACTCGGGATGTGAGCTATTGATTAAGTATGTTATATATACAACTCGATCAGTTTAACCGTTATTGAGATTCAGTAATTTCGGTCTCCGGCAATTCACAAAGTATTATCACAATATACGGTATAGTATATGCTGCGCTTATCTTTTACGCCTAGAGACTACTGTGTCTTTTTCTTCTTCTGGTTAATGGATTTCTGGTTTCACAAAAGTAAATCATAGTGACGCTTCCAAAGTGAGCTCATTGGATTAAAAAGAGTCAAAATCATCTTTTCTGACATTGACTACGCCAATTGCGCGTCGGAAAGGTGTGAGAACTGAGAAGCGCACTTTTGATCGATGCTTATCCATGCCGCACTGTGCTAGCTAGCCTGTGTGAAGCTGGCCCCCCAATATTAAAAAATCGATTTTTTTTTCTTCATGCATTCGTTTGCTCATCGTTTGCTCACGAATGCTCAGTTGGAATTTTCGTTTGCTCACCCTTAGTTCAAAAGATTTGTGAGCAAACGATGAGCAAACGGATGCCAAAAAAAAAAAATGATTTTTTAATTCGATACCAAAACATAATTTTCTTGTATCTTTTGAACTAAGGGTGAGCAAACAAAAATTCCAACTGAGCATTCGTGAGCAAACGATGAGCAAACAAATGTATAAAGAAAAAAATCGATTTTTTAATATTGGGGGGTCAGCTTCACACGGGTGCTAGCTGGGCTATACTTCGAGCGGCCGGAATGTTTCTCTCGGCATGCTCTCATTAGTACAATTGAGGGGATGGACGGAATAAAGGCCTAATTAAAAAATCTCGATTTTGATTAAAAATTAAAATAATTTGCTACTTTCTTATTATATAACAAATGGGAATAGTATTAATTGTATATTTATGTAATGTCTTTGAAAAGTTACACATTTAATATTTCTCTATTATAATCAATATTTAAAACGTTATTTACAATTTAAAAAATGCATTCAGTTTCTTTTTTCGAATATTGATCATATTTGTTGATCATTATATATAGGAATCGATAGAAAGAAAAAACTATGAACTACAAAAATGTTTTTTATCTTCACACTCTTGCAGAAGAAATACAAAATGAATATGGAATATACTTTACTTTTATACTTAATTGTATAAATAAGTTAATTTAGATGAAAATTATGCGGGACTTCGGAAAAAATACCATCAGGATGAATTTTTGCACAGACCTTTATTTTTGCATAAAATTGAAGGAGAAAAAGTTTACCACTGGACAGTGACACTGCCAAGAAAAATAATTAAACAAATAGAGCTCAAATTTCAGATTTTTGCAAATATCTCGATAAATATCAATTTTATCAAGAAAATATAAGAGAAGAAAATTAAAGAGCGGAAAATTTTACACCGAAAAGGTTCTGTAAGTTTTTGTCGTACGAGCAATACTTTTCACATAAAAAATTATGTAAGATGTGCTTTGCGCAGCCAAGCGAAATGAAGCGTCGTTTAATGCGCGTACAGAAAATATCATAACGAATTAAAAAATTTAAACATATTATCGTACAAAAATCGGCGAAAACGTGTTGGAAAGTTGAAATCTTCAGTTTTTTAATGGAATTGGTTTCGTTATTCTACGACAATTTTTAACAATTCGACAATTGATTAAATAATACATGCAATTTTTGTCTTTTTTCATAAATCAGCTATAAGTCAGTATCAAATTATTTTTAAAAAATCAAAATACTCCATATTTATTAATATAATTACACTGGTAACGTAGAAATATGTGTACGACGTAGCATATTATACAATGTAAACGACCGCAATATCATTAGAGTTTTGTAAAGCATTGTACGAGTGGTGGAAATTTGGAGGGGATGGCCTATAAGGGTTTTTCCGGTAATTTCTTCTGCCGCGAACACAGGATACACTTTGTTATTTCTGAATGACATTCCTACATAACAAAAACAATCTTTATTATATCTCAATGTAGATCTACGGACAATAGCCCAACTCGATTAAGGCTCTTTTTCCATAGATTATATCATTTTCACTACCATAGGACAATCGAAATGAGTTTATATTTTACTAAGGTAAGCAACATCAATTCTTTGTTTATTTGCACTAATCTTCGAAAAAAGGATCTAAGTAGAATTATATGCCTTTATTTCGAGCAACCCCTCAATTACAAAAATTAATATATCTCGACTATTATTGTAAATATCACTAAACGATAGGGTACTTTTCTGTTTGTTTTGATCCCATCTATTTTCCTGTGCGCGATTGTAGAAGTCTCGCGGAATACCCTGTATGCACACACACGCGCGCGCGTACGCACAGAGAGTGGACACCTAAAACAAAACACCGGAATATCTCGAAAATTCAACACAGTAAAGGCCTCTGTATACGGTCAGTAATATTGTCAGTATATATTAACGAATACTGATAATATTATTGATTATGTGTGGTTAATATTAATGGATTGACGTAGAATACTGACAATGATTTGAATATATGGTAAATACATGCTTTTTCCGTAAAATCCATGTTGCCATAGTTAATAATATACGTCAAATCACGTCATACTTAAGTGAAATATTACCAATAATACCTGATCGTATAAGATTGTATAAACTAATGCATACTGTCAGTAATACTGATCAGTAATACTGACTCAGTATTACTGACCGTGTAGAGAGGCCTTTAAGGAAAAATGTTTCAAAAATTATATGATTCGAAAAAGGACAAATAATGATAAAATTACTTTTGAAAAACCCAATTCTCAGAAAGATATTCTGTTTTGTTTCAATCGCGGTACCCATACATACAGCACACTAACGTTGAATCAATATCTCAGGAACGTTGCAACATTATAACATTGCGGCAACATCTGTAAATTTAATTTTAAAGGGACGTCACAGAAATATTCTGATCACTTCAGTATTTTTGTTCCACTTTTGTTTAAATGTTAAAGGATATGATGTATAGGCAAGTTCCTCCTATACATTCGAAATTTTATCATAAACAGTTTTATCATAAACAGCTAGATTAAATTACCAATTAATTTAATAATAAACTCGCATTGTTTACATAGAATTTCAATGTTTAAAAACAATTATAGATAATATTCATTGTTTACCTTAACATGATATTTTGCTCTTTGTAAATAATTGTTAAGCTTTACAAGGATTATATGTGCAGTCTATAATCGGCAGTAGTGGTAAGGTTGACATATAAAGATAAGACACATCGAGAATAAGATAATTTTTCGGTATAATAGGACATAGAGTAAGTTCGTAAGCAATAAGAGAGTAGAACGAAGGAATTGGATTTCAACCATTCACTTATGGATTTACTTTACATCCTATTATACTGGAAAATCAGCTTACTTGCAACGTGCCTTACAGCCTTACCACTACTACTACTGCTAATTATAGATGACCCTCTACATGCAAGCTCCGCGTTAAATTGCTATACGTACAGAGATATTTATGATTTCCTTTCTATGAGGCTGCATCCACTTTTATTCGATTTGAGTTTCGGAAATTCTTCACATTCTTTTTCATTTTCGTGCGACTCGAGTTTCGAAAATGCTTCAAATTCTTTTTCACCGCGCAGGATTACGCTCTTCTGCAACGTTATTGCAATAACAAAAACAATATGAATAACGGGTTGAGTACTAGGATTACATGAAGTGTCATGTTCGGGATTATCGGATTCGCGTCTGTTTCTGTAGACGTATCATATAATCCTGTAATCTCATAACATTCAACACATCATATAATGTAGGTACATATATATTATATATATTAGGTTAGGGAAAAAGTTTTTTTTACGTATAATATATATAAATGGACCTTTATTTTATGATAGTTTTGTTAAAAATGAACTAAATTTATATTAAAAAAGAAAAGACTTTTTAAAGTTTAAAATTTTTACTTTTAAAAGGTTACTACACACAATACTATATATTTTTTATTTTTAACTATTGATGATGGTCTAAAATAGACTGAAACGTTTAGATCATTTTTGTATATTTCTAAATCAAAATAAATAATTTTGCCATCAAGATCCGGTGTGTGGTTGCATGCTTTTTCTATTTTTTAATTTTTTAGTTTCAGTGAGTTTGGTAAATTTATATGTATACCCAGTGAGAAATGACAATGGAATCAACGTCGAATCGATGTCAATTTGACGTCAATTTGATGATTTCGAAGTCGAATTGACATCAATTCGATGTCGATTTCATCATCATTTCTCACTGGATAGAAACCTACGAGCTAAAAAAGATGAAGAATTTTCTTTTCATTTTGTGGATCTTTTATGTGCCTAAAAAAAATTTGCAAAAATTTTCGACTACCTATCGTGAAAGCTTGCTTTTCCCAGAAAATCATTTAAAAAAAATTCTTATGATTTTTTGTTTCTGAGTTATTTATGGGTTAATATTACACAAAACATATGCCATATGAAATTATAAATAGAATTGTTACATTGAAATTTGAATCAAATTATAAAGTGAGTTTTGTATAAAAGAATTTTATTATAGTACAGAAACTTTTAAAATCACTCGTAAAGCCAGAGAAAGAGAAAGAGTGTACCTACTGAATACACTGTAAGTGAATCAGAGCTAATTTAATTCGGTTTGTGTTAGCTTTAACGCTTTGATGAAGGCTACCAACAACTCTCCTAATCGCACCACGGTAGCTGCGTTCGTCGCGGAAAACTTTGCTATGCAGGACGAACTGGATAATTCAACATTACCGGACTGGAAGGAAAATCCTGCCATTTTAAAATCCATCAAGGACCTGCGATATCGCGAATGGGCAAAACGTTTGAACTACATTTGGAATACTTTGGCAAGAAAGATAAATAACGATGTGATGGTCAATCCGCAGCGGCACAGTTTGATCTACGTAAATAACACTTTCGTCATTCCCGGTGGACGATTTAAAGGTAATTTTTCCGCGCACAGATTGGAATTCGGTTTTCAGTTTTAAATTCAACAAGCCAACGTCATTTAATTTTTTCATCAGTAAGATGTTTCTATCAAATAAAATGATTGTTTAGCGGATTTATTCGAACCAGATTTACACATTTTTTAAACATTTTTACTGACATGCATAAAAAGTATTTCCGGATATTAAATTCTTCTAAATATTAAATTCTTAAATTCTTGAATATTAAAAGCATTTAACTTTGCTTTTTTATATTCTTGACTTACAACTTCTTCTTTGGATTACATAAACAAAAATTTCGTATTTTATGAACTTTAAGAAGAGTTGCGTCTGTAAAAGCTTTTCATTCTTGATAGCGATAATGTTGATAATTTTTGTTTAAGAACTACTTAACTATTTTTGTTGATATACGTTGGTAGTAGTAAAAGAAGTGGTTTACTTTTTGTGTTTATACCGCTGAGAGTTAAGTGATAATATTTTTTATTATACATGCATATGTAGGATTCAACAGAAATGCATATGCTTTTCCTTTATAATACCTACTCTCGTGCACGAACTCAATTCTAGCAGAAGAAATACAGAAAATTATCAATTCAATATCTCTATTTCAAAATTACAATTTGCAAAAATACATTCGATTGACAAAATGCTTTGCTTCATTGTTCAGTAATGACGCCGCTAATGCTGTTCTCGCTCCTGTCAGTATGGGATCGCGTAATCCCATACATACACACGCACGCACTCACGCACGCACACAAATATGTATACATATTGTGTATATACAGGGTGTAACAGAGCGATCGAACCAGGCTAATTTCTTGAAAAATATGCATTTTCTTGAAAAAATGTTTCAGACAAAAGCTTTTTTTCAAGGGAGACATAAAATGTGGTATCATTGGTTAGACCCTTGATGACGTTGTCAAGATTAGGGCAAGATCACGTTGAATTTTTTAAATGAAACGCCCTATTTTTCATTATATATTCTTGTAGCTTACTTCGAGAACTTTTTAAAACACTAAGAATAAACTCTTTTTTATTAAGTACTTTTCGAGTTATAAGGCTTGAAAGTTACAGTACCGCCGGCATTAACATTAACCTAAGGTGTACTACGTGGAGGTTGTCCGGTCGGATTACCTTCGAATTTTGGGGCATCCTGTTACATTATGCGTGTTGCTTCTACATAATATGCAGAAAATTAAAAAAATTCAATGTTGTGCAAGAGATAAGAAACTTATGAAATAAAAGACCAAATTTTGCTACAGAGTTTTATTACTGGGATAGCTACTGGATAATCGAGGGACTCTTGTTATGCGACATGCACGAAACCGTTAAAGGAATGATTGAGAATTTCCTCTCTATCGTAGAGAAATACGGTTTCGTACCGAATGGTGGCAGAGTTTATTACTTATCGCGAAGTCAACCACCCTTGTTAATACCAATGGTACGTACTACCGGACAATGTCCACGTTTCTGATATCTTTGTATCAAAACGTTTGAATCTTGTATTTATATAAAGATCCATCCTAAGGAATCTTCTCCGTATAATGTACTATCTCTCTCTCTCACTCTCTCTCTCTCTCTCTCTCTCTCTCTCTCTCTCTCTCTCTCTCTCTCTATCTCTCTCTCTCTCTCTCTCTCTCTCTCTCTCTCTTTCTTTCTCTCTCTTAGAACAATTTCTTGAAGAACTCAGAATCTGTTTTGCCTCAAACGGCACGAATATTTTTAGGTCGCAAAGTATTACGACTACACAAAGGATCGAAAATTTCTGAAGAAAAATATAGCAATCCTTGAAAAGGAGTTTGAATATTGGCGAAACGAAAAAACGGTAGATGTAACAAAGAATGGTAAAACTTATAAGATGGCGCATTATGTGGTAAACAGCCGCGGACCTCGACCAGAAAGTTACAAGTAAGAACTTTTCATAAAAGATATTTTTACAAAGATATTGTTAAGAAATTTCTTAGGTGAATATACATTGCCAAAAGGTACAACATATCAAAATTTCAGACAATTCCACCGAAACCCAATTTCCATAAGATTACGGTGGGGGTCCTTTTGCGTGAGACCTCGAAAAGTTTATGATAAAAAAAAATAATTATCGTTGCTTTCATATTTTGCTGGGTTAGATTTCCACGAAGGTCACCCTTGTATCACTCCATTTCTATTATTTATCGAACGTTAAACAAGGATGACGTGATACCTGGGGAATAGGATTTTAAAATTAATTTGAATTTAATGTTATCCGGATATTCATTTATTCGGATTATCCGTAGATTCGAATTTTTTAAGATATCCGAATCTCAATCCGAATAGTAAAACTTAAAAGTCAAATCCAAATCCGGATTGATAGCAAATTTATATCGAATTTGACTGGCCGACTTTATTTACCTCATCTCTATTTTATTGATGTTTGATATTTGATTATAAAATTAATAAGAATGTTTAAGTTTTAAAAGATTACACTACGATTCTTTATGTAATTTAAAATTTTTTCAATTTTCTGCTTTTTAGCTTAAAGAACTTTCAAAATGATCTATTTTATTTTTAATTATTTTATGTAAAGCTGAAACTTTTTTGATGTCTCGGCTATTTGATTATTAAGATAATCATTAGAGAGAACTATTTGGGAGGATATCAGAATTCATAATAGAATGCCAAATTTCTAAAAAAATTTTTTTTTCTTAAGGTTTTTTGAAAATTCGGTATTTTCTTAAAAATTCTGGAAGCCCCTCAAAGAGTTCTCTCGATTGTTCTATAAATCTATGAACTAAATCTATAATAAAAGAAATAAAGAAGTTATAAGCCTTTAAAGTTTCGGAAGTTGGCCCTCCGATACTTTAAATAATATTTTTATCGCTTTAGTCGACGAAACTCTTGTTAAAACCATAGAAACTTAGAACTTTAGAACTTTTAGGGGGGTAATCAGAATTCTGCTTATTTTTTCCAAATTAAAAAAAAAGTGGAACCAACTTCACAGAGATATCCAATTTAATGATTACAACTTTCCATTTTATAAGTTAATATTATAAATTAATAAATTTACGTAACCTAAATTAATTTTATTTTACTTAATCTTTATATGTGAATTAAAATTCAATTTTTATTATGTAAAAAGTAATTTATGTTAAAATTCATTAAATATGACGGCTTGTTTTTTTCCGGACATGGATCTAAATTCGGATCCGAATTTAGATTCGTGGATCTGAATAATTCAGATATCTGAGTTACCCGAATAATACGGCTATCGTTTTCGGATTGAAACCGATTTCGAATATCCGAATATTTAGAAGTCCTACTGAGATGTATCTGGGTGAGAATTCGAACACGTTCCTTTAATGGATCATGGACATTCGCGTCTCTTAATTTTAATCGAGAAGTGGCAAGTAACGATACCGCTGCATTTCTTCTACACAGAATTCATTACAACATTTGCATCGATTGCAGTAGAAGGTCTTTCATTTTAATTATAAAAGACTAGTACGTAAGAACGAATGTGTGCGTATTCTCATAGGGAGGATTATCAGTTGGCGCAGCAAGTGCCGGAGCAGGAACGTGGAGCGGTTTACAACGATTTGAAAGCCGCAGCAGAAAGTGGCTGGGACTTTTCCTACAGATGGTGCATACGGACTAACAAGGACGCCAATCTCAGTCTCGTCAACGTCTCCACGAGTAACATCATACCCGTCGATTTGAATGCGATATTACAGCGAAACGCGAGGATGCTTTCTCGCTTTTACGGTATCCTGGGCAACGTGAAGGTAAGTCTATTTGCTAATCCAACCTTCCACTCACAATTAAACTGCTTCTCTAACAACGTTGAGCGCAGCACAGAGTAACCTCCGTGCATATCCCTGAACAATGCTGTATTTATTGTCACATCACATATTAAAGCGCGGCATAGTAATATTGGCATTTGAAAATCAGGGCATGTGATATACTATGCCCAATCCTCATTTATTACATAGTACATATAAGCGAGTCTTGGTAAGCGAACTGCGAAGGCTTGATATGCAAGCTGATCGTAGATGTTACTTTAAACGAGATTGTCTGCAGAAATCCGAAATAAATTGCTTCGATTTTATTAGATAAATGGCGTAATACATTTTTGTCTCAAATCGCTTATTATTGATTGTGTTACATCACATTGTCCGTATGCCGTTTATATCATTTTCCCCTCTTTCTCATTTCAGAAAGATTGGCGTTACGCTCAGATTGCCTCGGAATATCAAGCTGCCATTAACAATGTGCTATGGAACGAGGATGAGGGAATCTGGCTCGATTATGACATGAAAAATAAGCAGTCTAGAAATACATTCTACCCTTCGAATCTGTCGCCTTTGTACACTATGAGTTACGATTGGAATAAGAGAAATAAATATGCATTGCGATCCATTTCTTATATCAAAAGAAACAAGATCGACTCATATTTTGGTAAGTTGAGTCTTATTTTTCGCATAGCCGATGAACTGTTTTTTATTTCTTCTATCAATATAAAACTTCAAACACACGCGCAATAACAGTTGCTGTTATTTAGATTGAAATCAATAAACTTGATTGGATGCATATATATATCTAAATATATTTAGATATCCTTCCGCGTTAGAGTTTTTTTGTCCGCGAGATTTTTAAGTCTTCGCTGAATTTCAACTTCCAATGATTATTTAATCCCGTTATCCATTTTTCTCAAAGATAACTGATTGAATAATATCAGGTATGCTCCACGAAGTTAAATAATTCGCATAATCGGTCTACGTTTAATTATTTTAGCTGTATTTAGCTCATTATTATATCTACGATTATCGTTTTTCGGATTAGAATAATAGATATATTAGGTAATCAGTAGATGAATTGATAATTATATCGATCTATACAGGGTGTCCCATTTTAATCTATCGGTCGAAATATCTCCTAAAATACGCCAGCTATAAAAAAATGTTTCAAATAAAAATGGAATGGTGTCGAGGGGGACACATTTTAGTCATATTGTTTTTTTTCTAAGTGGAGGCGCTAAAAAGATATGAAGGTCACCTCCACTTTTTTAAATGGAATTATGTAATTTTTTTTAGATAACGTGATTCCTCTAACTATTTTGCATAAAAGTATTAAGGTAGAGATACCAAAAAACCAATAATTTTCGAGATATTTTACACTTTATTTTGGTACATTTTGACACACAATGTTAAATAACTCGTAAACTGTTGACTTTTTGATTATCGTACCTTAATACTTTTGTGAACAGAATAATGAGATAAATCAAATGGTGTAAAGAAAACACATAGTTGCGTATTTAAAAAATTATCCATTTTGCATACATATTATTTTTAAAGCAACTATGTGTTTTCTTTACACCATTTGATTTATCTCATTATTCTGTTCACAAAAGTATTAAGGTACGATAATCAAAAAGTCAACAGTTTACGAGTTATTTAACATTGTGTGTCAAAATGTACCAAAATAAAGTGTAAAATATCTCGAAAATTATTGGTTTTTTGGTATCTCTACCTTAATACTTTTATGCAAAATAGTTAGAGGAATCACGTTATCTAAAAAAAATTACATAATTCCATTTAAAAAAGTGGAGGTGACCTTCATATCTTTTTAGCGCCTCCACTTAGAAAAAAAACAATATGACTAAAATGTGTCCCCCTCGACACCATTCCATTTTTATTTGAAACATTTTTTTATAGCTGGCGTATTTTAGGAGATATTTCGACCGATAGATTAAAATGGGACACCCTGTATACATATATATATACAGTTTTATATAGATAATAGTATGTATATGTCTCTCACAGTCAAAGTGTTAATTTAGTAAATATATTCACAAGCAATGAAATTTAAACTTGTACCAGTAAATGCATACATTTTCATACCTGATTTATTAAAAATATGCACAAGCAAAATTGCATTAATTTAAATAAATACCTTTGCTAACAAATATGCACACCGCACAACTTTTTTAATTAACAAATTGGTTTTTTATTCATCATGTGCACATCGATTCCTTTAATAAGAGAACGCGATCTTCGATTTTGTCAATGAGAGAATAATTGCAATAATTTCAAAAAATGCAACACACGGTTGAGATATATTTTTACGGATTTCCGAAACGTATTGTTGTAATTAATAACTAAAAATGAATACAAATAGCTTAGAGCACTCACTCTAAATAACAGTATTCGTGATTGTGATTTGTTTGAAAATATTTAAATTTGAAAGTATATTTATATATTTCCTTTTATGCGCGCGCGCGCGCGCGTGTGTGTGTAATATGATACAGCGTAAAATATTAATAATTTAAGAAAAATTTAAATATTTCTGAACATAGACTTTAAAAAATGCACTAAATTTTAATAAATGTTTATTTAACGCAAAAGTTAGTTGCGTTACAAACACTAACGTAAGAAAACGGTATTCTTGTCTGGTGACAGGTGGCACGCCGTCCTCTATAAATTATACCGGCGAACAATGGGACTTCCCAAACGCGTGGCCACCGTTGCAGTCTTTCGTGATTCTGGGTCTTCATCAAACTAAAGTAAAACAAGCGGTCGACTTGGCCAAGACACTGGCCGACAGGTGGCTCAAATCGAATTATCTCGGTTACGACGAGTATGGCAAGATGTTCGAAAAGGTAAACCTATTTTTCTCGCATTAGATCGATCCTTCATCGGCGAACCAAAAGATTAAGGGAAAACGTTTCTTGTGCTGATGTTCTATACGACTATTTACGTCAGAACTATTAAATCTTCCAAGCAGAATGGCAGATTCTGTCGATACATCAGGTCTATTTTTTCATTTCTATATTAGGTTGTCTAGAACTTTTCCTCGCTTCCGCCACATGTCAAACATATATCTATCTCATCTTAAGTTTTAAAAGCGTATGCTAGTTCAACCACAAGTAACAGATCTAGTTTGAGCTATTCGGAGAAAGTCCTTCACAAAATATACATATAAATGAATTTCCTATAAAAAAAATAATTCTTTTATAAAGAAGAAAAGAATAGATTGTTACGTAAAAATATATAAAAGTATACAAATAAACTACTTATATTTATATGTTTATGTATCTTTTAATATATTTTTAAAATTTTTTATTTATTACTCTCGTATTTCTCTCTATTGATGTAACTATAACATTTTTTTATTTTTACATTTTATTTGATTTAATATTTTTGTATTTCACGTTTATTTAATTTATAATGTATTGTATATTTCATCTTTCCATTTTTCGCAATATAAAATATGTCTCTCTAATTAATAAAATCTTCTTCCAATTCTTTTTTCCGATTAATCAATCAAATGCTTCATAACACCAAGTGGATTACGCATTCAATATATTATTTCAAAATTAATTTTACATTTATCTCTCGCAATATAAAAGTCTCTTTTATTTATTAACAATTTACTTCGTTAATATTGGCGTTTAAATATCGACACATACATATACCGATGATATTACTAGTGCAAACATTATTTAACATGACAGTGACAAAGCGCTCTTTTTTATTACTATAGAATACAGTAAACACTTGTCCCGGTGCTGTCCGTAGTATCTTCTCGTGTTTCTTTTTGATACGGAAACTCGATGAAGTATGTATTTCGGAAAAGTCTTGAATTTCGATATGAGTCGAGAGATGATCGCTCAGACGTGTTAGCAAGAGTGACCTCGCCTTGTTTCTCTTGTTATTTTGAGTACCTTGCTGCTCTACTGAAACGCGAACAGAAACAAGAGAGAGATGAAAAGCCGTCGGGAAATATTGTCCGAGGTACATACATATGCGTGCACGTGTGTTTGTAGCCCGTTCTAATCCGTCTGTTTTGTTTTGCCACCCTTCGTTTACGGAGAGCAAAATACAAGACGGTTGTGTGCGGGAATAGTACTACTAGGGGCGCGTTAGAAGATATTTTATACATTACCAATTTCTCGGGAAAAAAGGAAAACATTCTGTCGATACTCATGCATATTGAGAAGAAAGTGTCCGTAACAGCCAATATTACAATAGAATTAAAACGAGAATCTTTTTTTACTTTTTAAATTACACTCGTCGCCGTCTCTCTGCACACAGCGCGTTTCTATTTATTCTTCATTAAACTTATTTCATTATTGAATTTATTCAACCGCCAAAATCGGCTATATTGAACTATCAATGCTCGATATTATATTGTGAATAATTGTAATATTTATTGTAATGCTTTTTTTATTCTGGAATATTTAATAGTTAAATTTGATAAATATTGAGTATTTGAGAATCTTCCTTCTTTCAAATTATATTTATAAATGATTATGTTTACGTATATACAAGAATATTTAATGCTTTTTTAATCAAAAATATGTTCTTAATGTTTTAAACATATTTCAAACAATATTTAAAAAAACATGTTTAAAACATGTTTAAAATCTTATTTAAAATATTATTGAAACATCAGGTATTCATAGACCATTCTTATTTCAACTAATTTCAAGATCTTTTCGCCAACAGCAGTTCATAGTAGTATTTTCAAGGTTGAAATCTCTATTTATGAAATCTGTAATTAAAATTAGATTTTGTAAGCATAGATTTCAACTTTTAAAATGCTTTTTTATTTTTTTATTTGCAATGATTTTTTACCAAGTTATGGTGTCTTGAATATTATCCAATTTTAGCGTTCGAAAGTGTTCCCTATTTTTTGTGAGTAGTGTATGTAGATATCATTCGCCTAGAATCTGTCAAATATTTCCTTTAAAAAATATTATTTAAACATTTGTTTTAAACATATAAACATTTAAAATTTGTTCAAAACATACGTTTGGTTAAAACAGTACAGTGTTTAAAATATGTTTTAAACATTTGTTTTACGTATAAATGTTTTAAACGTAAAAATCCTGGTTATTATGGGAGCACAATGCAATTATATGTAGTATTTTTTCACGCTGAAACATTTAATAATCATATTAAGTTGCCGAAAATTGTGTTTGAACATATTTATTTACCTTTATATAATTATTGTAAATAATTATGATCTTTATTGCAATTTTTGTTTATATTAAAATATTTAATACTTCAACAATTCACTGAAAGTACAACGTTATATATAATATTACAATGTTCAAAAATGAGTATAATATAAACTGACTACATGAGTACATTTTCACAAAAAAATTTAATAACGAGCTCAAATAAAGAAAATCCAAATATACGAAACAAATTTTTTTTAGTATAAGAAAATTTCTTCCCTCTTTTCAACATTCTCGTTAATATTAATGAGCTGACTTTTTCGTATTTTATCCGTATATATTATTATACTACGATTCAGAAAATAACAATGATTAAAACATCTGGCATAGCCGCATCACTAATACAGCTGTTCAATAAAACTAGATTAATGGCGTAATTTAAGCTAGGATACAATTATACGAGTATCATTAGAGAATGATGAATGAAATTTATACTTCGGCGCTTTGTATAGGTCACATCTTGTTGATACTGATGTATCAATAACGAGCTGTCGCAGGAAATAGCTAGTCCATTTTGTCGAACAAACATGCGTAATCGATTCAATGAAAAGGTATCTTGCGCTTGCCTCATTCTGAAGATGAGAAAAGATCTTCGTACCAAAGGTACTCTCGAGATTTTACGTGTTGATATAAGAGAATTGAAATTACATTTTTCATTTGCAGAACTGATTGTTATTTGTCGAGCTTGATTTATATTATTAGTTTTTTTAAAAGAACGCGACATTTATTTATTTTTACAGTCTGATTAATTAATTTATTACTAATTGACTAATTATTTTTGAATTGCATTGAGAAAAAATGGTTACAATTATCATAACTATAACACAAGCCGATAAAAATTCAATCTTTTATTGGCTACCAAAAGTAAATAAAGTTGTTTCGCCTCCTGGCCCGAGACGAGGTCTCGATCGTTCAAATGAAGCGACGTTATAAGTGTCATTTAACTAACTAACGAAAGTTCGTCCAAGTTCTCTCGCGATCAGGAGAAATTAGATTTCCACTGCAAGATAAGTATTCCTCGACGCGAATTAACTCGCCGCCGGACGGAAACCACGGAAGTGACAATCTAGAGTACGAGTCTTGATTACTTTCGAGCGATGCGACGCGATTTGCTTTCCAAATTGAAAACACCTGATTATACAGAGTAATTAATCTTTGAATTTCAGTATAACTCATTGCATCCGGGCGAGGGTGGCGGTGGCGGCGAATATAACGTACAGGACGGCTTCGGTTGGACGAACGGCATTGTCTTCGAGTTGCTCCGCCTCTTTCCGAATGCGGAATCTTTCGATAACATCAAATACGATGGTAGCAACAGTATTGACAGATAATGTATGGACAAATCAGTAGCTAATCGATTTCACAGAACTCTGAATATTTGTTTCTTTAAAAAAAATTGATAATAAATGAGTTAAGAGAGAGAGAGAGAGAGAGAGAAATGATGTCAATCTTTATATGATGTTAATTTTTTAAAATTAAATTCTTATACATAAAGAACTATTCTGCTGAAGTATTTAAAAATTTAGGTAGATGCAGATCTAAAAATAATTTTTTGTGGGATTATTAAAATAATTATGGAGGAGTATATAATTATGTAGGAGAGAAACTCAAGCATGATGAACAATGTTGTATACAATTTTGATATTCTAGCATTCAACTGGAACGTTTTACATAATTATTTTAATAGTCAGAGATACAAAATTATTTTTAGATCTCTCTGGTGAAAATTTTTTTCAAACCTTTCTGTATAATTTTTCATATTTTTAATCTGAATTCAGAGTTTTCAGAACATCAGAATAATTTTATAACTTTTTAGAAAATTTCGCTGGTTTTTTATACAAATTGAAATACTTTTCAAAAAGTGTCGAGAAACATTTTATATCTATAGAATTTTTCAATATATGTATGAATTCTGAAATATTCTATAAAATTTTTAAGACTTCTTATTCTCTATAAATATCTGACAAAATCTTATAAAATTTAAAACCGTTTAAGGCATTGTTTCAAAAATTATACTATTAAAAATATTTTGGAATTCGCATATATAAAAGTTCTAAAATGTAAAATCTCTTACTTATCTGAAATCTGTTCCAATTCATACAAAAATTTTGAGAAAAATTTTCATTAGAACCATTATATATTTAAATTTTAACTTTAATAAAATTCCGTGTAATCTTTAAAATTAGAAATCTCGATCAGAGCACATTTTCCTTATATTATTAATATAGCATTCCTTTTATTATAGACATTTTTATTACAATCTTATGTCGCAGAATTTTTATTTCTTTCAAAATTGTCTGCTTTTTCCACAGCAATGTTAGAAATGCGTTATTTGTTTTTTTATTTGCGAATATTTAACAAAGCTATTATAAATTTTTGAGCAGTAAAATTAATCTATAGAAATCACAGTTTCTTATAAATCAAAATTTAATGTTGACTTACGTAAAAGCAATTACTATAAACAATTGGTTTAAATTACATTGTTAAAATTTTATTTTATGACAAACAATTATATATATCATAAAAGTTATCTATAATAATATACATATATAAGAATGTAGCGGAATTTAGATACTAAGTACTTATTTGTTAAACATTTAATGATGAGTATAGACAGCGTGGAGAAGCTTCTTATAGTGAATCTAGTCTACAAGGAAAACTAGGGCAGCAAAGATATCAACTGTACCCTTATCTCATTGTCAGAGTACTCTCGTGCTTTAAGTTACGTAAGTCCGCAATAAAAGACTCAGTCAGATCGAAACAAAAAGGTTATAACTTTATTTTGTTTTTTAATTTTCTCTCTGTGGATTACATAAAAGTGAAACACGAAGATGTATGTTGAATTTATTACTACATACCATACATAATAATTTAGGAGTATCCCGTTTGCCTACAATTGATTACCCACAGCACCATTTGTCTACATCACATTTGCCGACAGTTCGTTTGTGCACAAAAATGATTGCCTACAACTCAATTGAACTATTGTGCACAAATAAAAATTTCAGAGACGAAATTACATTTGCCTATACAGATCGATTGCTCATAAGCTTTTACTCCCAAGTATAAAATTAAGAAACGAAGGCATGTTTACATATCGGACATTATAAAAATGAAGGTACGTTTATACACACATATTACTGCCTACAGATTAATTGTTTATAAGCAATATTCTCTGTTTTAAAATGAAATTCTTTACTTTAAAAACAAATAGGCAATAATATGTATGTACAAACATACCTTCGTTTTTACTTTTATTTTTTAATTTTGTATTTATATGCAAAAGAGTGCTTGTAAGCAATCGATCTATAGGCAATGATATGTATTATAACTATTATAAGCAAATGTGACTTCGTCTCTGAAATTTTTATTTATGTGCAAAAATGCTTATCGATAGTCTGTAGGTAATAATAATATGTAAAATTGTATATGTTATTTGCGATTAATGTTACGTATGAGTGTCCATAATGCATTTTTTTTGGTTGAGCTGTACGTTTCGCTAATTCTCTGTATTGTAGTAAAATAAGTAACTTGTGAGCTGCTATTATATCGCACATTAATGTAACGTAGATGTAACAAATTGTTGAATAAATGTTGATAACGCATACGTGCAATGTGATTTCATTGTATGGATATATTTACTTAATTTCTTCTTATGGCATCTTTAGGATTTTTTTGTCATTATATTTAACCTATCTGATTACACTAAATAAATAAAAAAAGTTGAATATGATAAGTAAGTATACTCATTCATAAAAAAATATATAGGCCATTGAAACAATACAGACGTGTCGATCTCTCTCCATTTGTGTAACATCTAAAATAATGTCGTAAGTACGACTTTGGTAACTGTCTCTTAATGTTCTATAGTAAGTTTTCTAAAAACAGACAAGAGAAAATAATAATAAAGGAAGTAAAAGAAAATAAGGGTCGAGTTCCAAAAGAGCGAACTCTCCGATTTTATTGTTGATTGGTATACTATTGTATTTTGGTGTGCAGATTACGAATATAATTATGAAAATTACCAACAAGGTTATTTTGACGATCATTTACCGCGAAGCGACTTTCTATTTTCTCCCTTATCAATAAGAGGCGCACGACTTTCCATACGAAGCGAATCTCACCCCATCTCCTCCCCTGCCTAAGAATATTTACTTTTCACGCAGAAGGGAAATAATTACCAATTTCTAGTGTTAATAACTTCTTAACGGATAACGAGTGACGGCTAAAACCTGTTAGAGATCATGACCTTGATAACATATATGTTATGGCTTGAATTACAAAGGTAAACAAATTCTATTTACAGCTTTCAAAAGAAGAATTTTTATCTTTAATTTGCTTTTTCATTGAGAGTTATATGATTTTTTTAAACGAATTATTTCATATTACAAATAAACAAAATCGTTTTTTGCTTCAGTATTGTATAATTCGGTGAAGAAAAATCGCACAACATTCAAGTATGCAAATTAAAGGTAAAGATTAACGCTTTTGAAAGATTAAACGATGAAATTTTTTGGTGATTTTTAATTCATGCCAGGGAACTTAGCAAAGTTTTAGGTGATCTTCAAATTTTTTCTAAAAAAAATTGTCGATTGTTGAACTGCCGTAACGTTGTAAAAAAAAAAATCGATCAAGTGGTCAAGCAGCCCGCTTTATATCTTTGCTATATGCACTTGGCGTCGCGACGTTGCCGCGTCGCTTGATTTATCCGTCACAATGATTACGTATATATATAATGACAATCGACAAGACTTTATTACATTATTAACCGGAATTTGGGATTATCGCCAGTAAAAGAATTTAGTTAAAGCTTTTAGACATATGAATAGAACGAAGTAACCCTTTATATGTAATATATATTTTTGTAAATTTTATATTTTTCAATCTATTCGTATGTTTACAATTTTATATATTTTAATTTTACCGGACCAATTATTTATACATTTGTATAACATTGATAATGACCCGATTGGTGTCGAAACGTCTGTTTTCATATAATAATTTTTATTTTGATATTTTTCTTTGTTTATAAGAGAGATTTATCTTTATTTTTAAATTAAATGATATTGTTTTTAGCTCGTAGCTCTTCTCTCTAATTTATTTTGAATTTTATTTTTACTAAGCTATATATTATTTTTTTTTGTACTTTGTATTCATATGTTTTTTCAGAGAACATATATCTACTACAACCTCGTCTGTGTTTTTATGCTTTTTGTGCATATTCGCAGTATTACTGTTTATGAATGATGTAAGTGGACGCAGCCATGCAATTTCTAGACGGCCGTCTTTGTCGCGTTGGCTAAAAGCTAAAGCATAAGCACGCCGCTCGATGAAATTTTAAGCGCAAAATATACAAAAAAGGGATTACTTTGGGCAGCTGTAATCGCGTGGGAAATCGAAGGCTGTCGCTGAATAGCTTTTCCGACACAACTGTCAAGTCGTTTCACACAAATGACATTTTTAATTTCCTTTCGAAGACTCTCGGCCGGATATCTGGTTTTTCGCTGTACTTATTGTAACGGCCTACGTCACCAACGCTCGAACCATGCGCAGTCATTTCATAGATTAAAGCTACGTAAAATTTAATAAGCCCTTCGCAAGAGATTAGCTTCATTCCCTCGTCTCTTTTTTACACAGAATACCCATTAACGTGAAAATCCGATCTTGACTCCCTTTACTTCCTCATTCTTGCCGTAAATATCGGAGAAAAATGTAACGATAAATTATACGGAAAAAATCACACCTTGTTTATTCGGTAAAATATTATTTATAAAACAAAACTATCGTAACATTTTGATAAAATAATCTCTTGGCGAGGTAATCCTCTTCAGACTGAAAGAGTTTATCATTTCTTCCATTTTTCACCGTTATCGTAACCCAGCTTGAACAAATCCTTCAAAACGACGTTGAACGTTACGGTAACAGTTCCCTCGACTCTCATGCGTGTGACTGTAAATATTACAAAGTATTGTAGATGCAACTTGAAAAGAAAGGCATTATAGTCCTGCTAATAACAATTTTCCTTACGTTATTTTATACTGTGGCTAAAAATGTTTATGCTGTTAGTCTATATATATATATATATATATATATATATA